GGACAGGGGCAGTGACAGAGACGAAGATGGGGACAGGGATGGGGACAGGGACAGGGACGGGGACAGGGATGGGGACGGGAACAGGAACAGGGACAGGTACAGGGGTGGGGACAGGGACAGGTGTGGGGACAGCCCCAGCCCCATTGGACCCCCCCAGCCCCACTGAGGACCCCCAGCCCTGTGTGGGGGCGGTCCCACAGCAGAGCCGGACCAATGCTCGGCTGTGACGCCTCAAGGGGGCGGGACCTATCGCGACATCAACCAATAGCCTGACAGTGTGGGTGTGGTCAATCAACTGCGTCACAGGGCGTGGCAGCCCCGCCCCAAATCCTCAGCGGGGCTCCCGCCCAGTCCGTCCCAGTTCGTCCCAGTCTGGGCGGGGTTTTTGGGGGTCGGGGCTGATTGATGGGGTCCCAGCGCTCTCTGCGGGCTGGGCCAACGAGGCGCAGCGACAGCGAGCGGTGTCACCGCGCCAGGGACAGCGCCCATCAATCACCCGCTCTGCGGTGACATTCAAACGCCATCCCCCGCTCCTGGGGCCGGGGGCTGCTGCGACCCCACCGCGACCACCCAAAGGACGGGGCCCTGAGCCCACCCGGAGCCGCGGGTTTTGGGGATGTCCCCACGGCTGTCCCCGTCACTGTCCCCATGGCTCGCAGACCCCCGGGTACTTCACAGGGGGCTAAGGGGGTCCCAGCCCAGCTCCAGCTCTCTCCCCCCACTCTCCTGTTCCCGTCCCTGTCCCCATCCCTGTCCCTGTCCCCATCCCAATCCTTATCCTTATCCCCATCTCTGTCCCTGTCCCCGTCCATGTCCTTGTTCCCTGTCCCTGTCCCCATCCCTGTCCCCATCCCTCTCCTTGTTCCCTGTCCTTATCCCTGTCCCTGTCCCCATCCCTCTCCTTGTTCCCCATCCCTGTCCCCATCCCTGTCCCCATCCCCCTCCGCATCTCCTCCCCCCACCTCAAACCCGGCTCAATTTGAAACAAAATTTGTATTTATTCACCAACACCCCCAAACCCAGCAGCGCCCCGGGGCTGGGCAAGGGGTCTGGGAGGGTCAGGACCCCCTTGGGGACCCCCCCTGTCCCTTTGGGGGTCACACATTGATTCCCATCAGGTTCACCGGGCGCCCCCCGTAGCGCTTGGAGATGTCGGCCTCGATCTGCAACAACACCGGGGGGGGCTCAGCGCACCCAGAGGGCACAAAGAGGGGGG